TTCTAGCACTCCGCTCTTTTCGGAGAGAGGCCAGGAGAGAGGCTCGACGTTGCCAAACAAGCAAGGGATTGAGCAAGACGCGCGAAAGCCGTTGCGCTAACGCGCAGTAGTTTGATTGCTGGAGAGAAGATGCTCGACTAAAATCCGAGGAAAGAAATGCTGCTTGCTTTTTTGGGGCCAGGATACAAGACGGCTGGCAATGACTTCATCGATTCCTTCCTCAGTCGCTGCAGTCACGGATTCATCTGTTGAGGCAGACCCTTTCATTCATCATCTCGCACCTTCCCTACCGGACCTGTTCCCGTACTCTTGGGCCTTTCGATTTCTGATCTATTTCTTTCTTCTTAGCTTAACTGGCTAAATGGATTTCATTGTTCGGTCCGATCTGTCGGATTCATATGTATTATGGGCTATTTGCCTTGGTTTAGGGGCCTGATTCAGAGCAAATCACTAATGTCGAAACTCTCGCGGCAAAGCCTCGTGGTCGGGACTGATTTCAATTTACCGAGTTGAATAAGGAGAAATTGCTTTTTCAGCCGGGGGATAGATTATTAAGTTACCAATAGTTGTTTATTAAACAGCATTCTAGCAAGTTCACCTATTGTGAATAACGTAGGTCTCTACCGGCTATTACCGCATTGGGGGCATCCCCTTCTATTGAATCAAAAGGAGAATCCTTATTATACTTAGTGAATTCCTTATGCAAAAAAGGTCTTGGAATCAATACAAAGAATTGAGCCTCACTGACCACTCTTTCAGCTTAAGCACCTTCCTTTATGGTATTAGCTTATCAGTAAGAACGGATTCGCCACTGTAAGAAAGTCTTTTCGAACTAATGCCACATCTTCTACTTTGACAAGGCAGGTGCAAAAGGAAAAGGAGTAAGGGCTCGTCACCTTGGTAAAGAGAGATTTATACCCGGCTTCCGACCTTGGGACTTAGTATACGCGGTTACCCGGTAATTAAGAGTTTATACGCGCTGTCCGACCTTAGGCGGGGGTGAAGATTTCTTCCATCAGAGCTCTAAGGATTCTAGACCGGTACGAGAACTGATGCGAGCACCCTAATGGATCGAGCAGTCACTCCACCTGTTAGAAAAACTCCAAACACGACCGCGTAGCACTTTTTGAATCGTTTCCCCGACGGTGGAAACGTGGGAACAACAACTCCGGAAAGAGCGAGAAAAAGAAGTAGCTATTATAAGTTTGAGTTGGAGCTTTCCGCACCTGCTTCGGGAGGATGGGAATAGTTACTTTCTTTGTTGGGTGGGAATAATAGCCAGTAGGTCCCGGTGCCGGGTCCACCGACTCCTCAGATCGATCACTAAACTTAGGTCGGCTCGATCACGAAGCCCAGAATATAGATATGAATCTTTAATGTGACTGCTTCAACTCAATTACATCGCATCGAGCCTGGGGGCTATCAGGCGGAGCGTCTAAGCGAAATGCTGGAGGAACGGCATTACGGGCAAGGCTTGTATGATATCAGCCATAGTCTCCAAACTGAGGTTTACCTTATTCCGGTAGATGCAAAACGACTTCCTTCCGGCGGAGTCGAAATCCTCTTTTTTTCCCGACAGCATCAAATACTTCATCCTCGTCTTCTGAATACGAAGAAAGCTCACTTCTGCCCTTTCACCATAGACAAGGACAAGCCAAGGAGCTAGTCAAAGTTTCCAATGCAAGCACTTTAAACCGGGGCCTTCTGACTTCACTTCGCTTCGAAAAGTTTGTATCCTCTCCTTTCGCGTCGAGCATCTTCAAACCTTCGCTTCAGATAACTACTGTGAAGCTCGATGGAAGCAATTATCTTGCTCGGTCACGGTCTGCACTCTTGTCAATCAAAGTAGGGGGATGGTGGACTACTTGACTGGGAAAGGCAAGGAGCCAGATATTTCTGATCCCGCATATGCAAAGTGGGACTCAGAAAATTCCTTGGTCATGTCTTGGTTGATTCATTCTATGCAACCAGAGATTGGTAATGGTTATCTCCTACTGAAGACAGCAAAGGAGATATAGAATGCTGCCTATCAGACCTATGAAAAGTGGGTAATAAGGCCTAAGTGTCTTTTAGAGTTGGAAGAAGGTGCATGAGACAAAACAGGAAAATATCAGTCTGTCGGTCT